CTGCCTGTTGAAATCATGTGCCCAATGAAAAATAATAAACTAAAACACAAAAGATAAAAAGTGTACGGTGAAACAAACAAAAAATTGTCATTCTCGTTATTCACCTTAACTGTCTAATCATATATATATATATATATATATATATATATATATATATATAGAACCTACCATTCATTACTGTGGATTTCAAAGCCACCAATAGAGTTTTGTGTTTTTACAAAATGAATAAGTAAAAAATCTTTGATTAAGATAAACAATGACGCTGTCGCCATGTCCATTATTTTGTACTATGTGTAAATTTTGCACTTCGAATTTATTCACGACTGCAATACTAGAACTTTAGTTTATTTATTACAAAAAAGTAAGAAACAGTCGGACCAGAGTAGACAGTTGTCGGAGTTTCTTATCATTTTAATAATTTTAATTTACAACTACTGATGGCCTAACTGAATAAGACATTCGATAAAAAATTATAAATTGGGTCGAGGGCTGCATGCATCATGTCGGTTATTTCTTTCTATGCTCTCAGTTGTCTGTGTTTGTCGCGTTTGTTCCCTAGATCAATTTGTTCATAACTTGTTATCATCCTCAGGCCGCATCTGTCAGCTTTCCATTTCCGTTTCATCTTGTGAGAGCAAGCAGATGCCACACGAATCAAAAGTGGTAAAAGTTGAGCTTTAGTTAGCCATCTTCCCATTTGATCTGGATGCAACACGAAACCAATGCACAATCGAACAAACTTATTTGATGTGTATCACCACGAACTTATTTGAATCAAGCCATATTTATTATATTTCACACACGTTTGATGCCAGACTGTGTGCCAAACAAATCGTGGTACAATAATCTTTATAAAAAGATAAGCGCTCCATGATTTGCAATTGGGCCGAATACTGCCAGGTTGCCCAGGCCAAGGCTGGTGAATTTTCTTGAGGAATCCATAACCGGAGCCTTCGGTTAGTCAAAGCGCGGCGTGCGAAAACCGCAATCCATTGGAGGCCGGTGGCCAGTTCCTCGGATCATACGCCTTTCGGGCGGGGTCAAACGTCCAAGGTGCCCAATACACCTCGATGCCCAATCGAGCCGGTGACCACTGCCACAACCGGAAAGGTGTGGATGTGGTTCGTACACCTCCTTTTGATTGCTCTGGAATCAGGGTTTTTAACCAGCTCCCCTAGGTAAACTGCCATTGGTTCACCAACCCAGTGATAGCCCCGGATATCGGCTTTTCGTCCTCTCACTTTCAAGCAAAAACACCTCCGTCACGAGAAGGCAGTGAGTAGGAATTCCTCAGCAGAGGCTATTTGAGACGCTTGGTCGTATGGGAGCATTTCGCGAGGTGCAAGGGACGGGTTACCAGCCGCAACCCTAAACACCCACCCCCGGCCATACTGAGGATTTCGAATCCGTGTTGATCTCCTAATACTATCGNATACTATCGTCCTCCTCGTATCCAGTTTACTCTGTTTCCATTTATTCTTTTCCTTCATCCTTGATCCTTGTTCCTTTCTATCCGTCTTATTGTGTCACGACACCTCTGAGTCTACTAACGAGTTTATCGATCGAACTGATTGCCCCTCCCCCTTTTGCCAGTGATCCATGCCACCTCCGCTGTTTAACTTTCCTATCATCGATCGATATATGACTTTTTCAAAGGTGAATTCGTTATACATATAGCAAATGAAGCGTGAAGTGAAAAACTACGAAGCACTAGACAGCTGTTTTGGCCTGGTTGAGTCTCATCAGCAGGTCGAAACAGCTGTCCAGTGCATTCTAGCTTTTCACTTCACGCTTCATTTGCCATATACAGGCGAATTCACCTTTGAAATCGAATCAAATCCTCCGTTACTCACTTGAAATATGACACTTTCTTTCACGTCCATTTGATGAGACTGCTTTTCTGTCCCGGAAGGTTTCCACATGTTTCTCCCTCCTCTCCCCCTATTAATGCACAGTGTTTTGGAAACCAGATGGGCTATGTAATGCAATGTGATGAACATGACGGATAGAGGCCAAAACATGAAGTACTGATGGCAACGTTACCGCCTTTCCCTAAACAACTTTTTGTTATTGAGGTGTTATTTTTGTTGAAACGATCCGGTAGGGTTACCATCCTGTGTGTGTCTTTTCCCATCTGTTATGATTACTATCATAAGAATCATTCCGCCTTAAGCGACTCACTGACCAGAATTGGCAGACATTTACTTTGTACCCTCCAAGTTCTAAGTGCTTGTTCAAGACTGGCGGGAGCCTGTGCTTGCACTCACCCTTTGTGGTGATCAGCTAGAAGATGTTGAGAGTTTTAAGTACCTCGGGGGTTGATTGCAGCTGGTGTTGGTGTTGGGGAGGAGATCACGAATAGCGAAAGCTCGAGCAGCTTTCGTCAACCTACGACATATGTGGCGCCGCCATGACGTCCGACTGTTCATTAAGGGAAGGGTGTACACTGCCGCAGTTCGTAGTGTTCTGCTTTCTCGGTTGTAAGACCTAGCCTCTCCGAGCGGGCAATGCTAATCGACTCTTTGCATTCTTCCATTGATGTCTCCGAAGATTGCTCGTGTCTGATGGGAACATCGAGTGAGCAATGACGAGGTCCGTCGTCGTGTGACGGACGGAAGTAATCGCAATACACTACCTCCCATGGCTTGGTCACGTATTGCGTATGCCCTCCCATCGATTACCTTTCCGTGCTCTCCTCGCACGTGCCTGGCAAGGCTGGAAGAAGCAGCGCGGAGGTCAGACAATGACATGGCGTAGAGGTATGAAGAAGCTAGCTTCAGTTTTGGCTTCCGTTGGCTCAGCCCGCTTTCCAGGTTGGGGCCCACGGGATGAGGATTGTCGTTGGTTTGAGACACTGAGAGATATGGGCCAGAATAGAAGTCGGTGGGGCGAATGCTGTATGGTCTGCCTGTTGAAATCCCGTACCCCTTAAGAAGAACAAATAACACAAAAATGTCAAAATGTGTACGTAGAAACACACAAAAATTGTTATTCCATTTATTCGTAATCTTCCATTTTAACAGTTACCTCTTTTTCTCTATACTCTGTATCCCAACCCCCCTCCCGTTATTGTTATTGGTAATATTGTTGTGGTGTTTGTACCACGCTTATTCTCAAGCCGGTGATATATATTCTTATCGATTCTTTTCATTTATTTAATCTAACTATGACGTGGACCCAATCCACAGTTTACTAGTGGAAGGTATCTATCACCTTGAGGTTTTCGACAATCGATGCTTTCATAGTTAGACGTATATGGAATAAGGTGACCGAGCTAGTAACTAACATGTGCGTTGTAGTCTATTTGGGAATTTATAAGAAAAAATCGCTGTCACGTTGAATTTATGGCGCCTTATTTGCAGCTACCGTTCTGGTTTGAAGAAAATTGCGTGGAGATTAACAGATGTTGTGGAGAGAATGCATGCAAAAGCACATCGGGCAATTAAGGAGAGCAGTTATCTTCCGTCTTTCAGCCTGAGATCCGGAAGATTTTTTTGTTCGGTCGTTTGGTTGCACTGAAGGACACGGCAGCAAATCGGTGGTGGCTTTCCGTTGTCATTTCTTATCAGACCAAAACGCTTGCAAAGGGGTGTATGAACAGTTTGGTTGTGTTCTCCGTAAGTCGATCGTAGATGCTCACCTTCGTTCTCCGCTCGCAAAATAAGCGCCAATCCCGTCCAGTTTAGACATTTTTGCTTTGTGTTGATGATGAGCATGGTAGCAATTACTGAAGTTCGCTTGACTGTATTTTGCTGTGCGATAACTATACTAACGGTAATAATACTATTTCTACTGAAAATAATGATAATATGCAGATAAAATATTTCTTTATTGTTATGGTCAGATCAAAATGAGTGTTTCTCTGCAGATCACCGTTGAAATTTAAAGGCTGAGTTCACAGTTAGGCTATTTAGATTGTTTATACTCAGCCGTAAACAGACAGCGGAGTCAACTAGCCCAATCGAATCGCTTGATTACTTCTAATGCAATGACTTTTCGACATTCGGGTTTGCGCTAAATCGACATATGTGCAACGGGGGAACAGAAAACCACTGCATAACATTTCTCGAATTTTCCATCAAATGAACATCACATTTCCCTCCATGTATATGAACTAGTTGTCTTGTTTTTTTTTCTGTGCGATCTACAACTTCATTTCTTCCTCCCTCTGATCAGGTGTGTAAAGTCCATGATGATCGCAATAAATACATCCGGAAAAGACCGCTTCATATGCGCTGTAATGTGATCGGGCATCCATGTTGTCGCGGTGCTCGTGGTCGATGTATGATAACCACACGTGAACATTGCGCGGCTATTCGGGGCACTTACCACCCGGAGGCAGCTTTGTGCTCTCAGGTAGAATGTTATCCCTGCTACCATCTCCTTATCCATCGCATTAAACATGATACATTTCTCACAGGAAATAGCCATTCTACGTTTTCGTGAGACTAAGATCATAAATGAGACAGCGGTTATCGATGTGAGATAAACGAAATCACACCAGCTTGCCTTGAGGTGTTGGTGATTAGCGTATGTTCGCGAACGTATAAGTGATGGTAACAATTGGGATGTCCGTTTCTGAATAGCAATTAGGCCCGACGAGAATACGTGTAATGTATTCGACTGTGCACTCAGTGTGTTGACCGCTGACTGTATCAGTCGGAGGTCAGGGTTTCAGCTTGCATCACGAAGGTTTTCAGTAAGAATTCTGGAAAGGACACAAAAGTACGAAATATTAATGACGAGAAGGAAACGGTTGTACCCCTTGTTGGTTGTTGCAAATGTAACTTAGCCTCTACATATGTGGTTGTGTTTGTGCTATGCACGAGCCAAAGTGTAATAATAAACCACTCAGTGCATTGCACGCATGGATCCCTACGGTCACCGAATGAGAATAGAAATGTCCGTAAGATGGAACAGAGGTCCGCTCTGATCTATTCTCGTAAGCGGAAAAAAGGCAGTTACATAATGACATTTTTTGGGGGGTGGGGGATATTTTCCGTGAAAATTTGTCCCAGAACACAACGTTCGGTAAGTGACAGAATTTCGATTTTGCTGTGGAAGGAACTGACAATCAATGATTACTCACAGTTCTCTGTGAGACCATATTCACAAGAAAGCAGGCGAAATTGACATAAGCATCAGTCAAACTGTTGTAGCTGTCGTGGATTAAAGCAGAAATAAATATGCACATCTGTAGTCCCACGTCCTCAAACCTCTCCCGAAACAACAGGCATGAAAACGCATTAAATTGAACATAAAACAGGATCCTGAAAATGCACTTATCATGCAGAACCGATGTATACCTCTCAAGATTTGAAAGCTTTCAGAAATAATTCAGTGGTCACGTCTACAAGCCTATGTAATTCATTCACTTGCACAAGGAAGAGCACTTTACCCGGGGAAAGCCTGCTGTATGAATGTCTTCTCCCAATAATAATGTTGAAAATATTTTATTTTATTTCTATTGTTGAATAAAAAACATACAAGGGACAATTTGGATGAGAGAATAATAAGCAAAACAAATAAATTCTCTAGTTTACCTTGTGATTCTAATTTAGTAACATCAATCAGAAGGACAGCAAGTTCCTTTCTCCGGGGTTCTTTAACAATGGGCTGGAATTAATTGCTTCCAAAATATCTTATGATTCTGACTTCTGACTTCGACGACCACAAGGGAAGCAACCTTGTCCCGGATATCTGCTTTCAGCCCCCAGTTATGGGTGACAAGCAACATTCGGTTCACAGAAAACCGATTCAGGTTTTGATTGCATCATTCGACCGGAAGTGAACATATGGTGAAGAGGGAGCAAATCACGTACCAAAGATCGTCTTCATGGTAAAACTCATAACCTACAGCCAACGTCACTTCAGATATCAGTTCGTCTACCTGCAACGAACATCGCTCTGGAACAACTCAAGTAACACGAACAGACAGCCCGAATATTAAAAGTAGCACAGGATACCAGACAAACGATTTCCGTTTTTTTGAAAACGAGGTCCAGCGACAAGATTTTCTTTCAATTCTATGCCATGCCTACGCGCTCGAGTCTATCTATCGGTCACGTGGGTTAAGTTAAATATGAGAACATATGCCCAGAAATAAACG